GGTGGGTTGTGGATTTAGGGGACCATGGAAAAGTGGAAGGAACAGGGAGAAGGGTGGAAAAGTGGGGGTGGTCTGGCAGGTCCGACAGTCCCATGGGGGTCTTTGGGCACAGGGGGGCTGGGAAAAGGGCATAGGCCCTTAACTCCCAACTTACTATGGAGTGCTGGGGCTGCTGGATCCAACCTCAGCCTTGGGTTATGCCAACAGTTTCAGTTTAGAGGAATTACAGAGGTGAGACTGAAACACTTTTGTCCCCCCTGCCAAAATTATTTACTGCACAATAGAAACACTAAAACTACCAATAGTACAGCATAAGATAGGACAGTGCTCTACACTAAAGCAATTGTTGAAGCAATTCTACTCAAGCTGGCACCAAAGAAAGAATTATTAATTAGAAGTGGATGGAACTCCCCCAGACCAACACTTGTGGGGAGATCTGTGCTCTCAACCTCCAGCACTGACCTTGGGGGGTCCCAGTCAAGGCAGGAATCTCCACACACCCCCAAGAAGGGTTCTGTTGGTACAACCTGCCCCTGGCAAAGGGGACTGGCCCTTTCTGGTGAAAAGGGATGGACTGACAGTCCCTGGACTCCAGGGGTTGCCTCACCATCAGGGGGGGCATTCGGGGTGGGAGCAGCGGCCAAGTTCTTCCTGCAGTCGGGGCACTCATGGGTCTTTCCTTACTGGTGGGTCCGTTGGTGGGAGGTCAAGTTACCTTTCTGGGTGAAGCTCTTCCCACACTCCCCACACTTGTAGGGTCTCTCCCCGGTGTGGATGCGCTGGTGGGTGACGAGGCTGCTGTTCTGTTTGAAGCCCTTCCCGCAGTCAGTGCAGCGGAAGGGCCTCTCCTCTGTGTGTGTCCACTGGTGCTTTAGGAGATCTGAGCTGGTCTGAAACCTCTTCCCACATTCCAAGCACTTGTAGGGCTGTTCCCCAGTGTGGATGAGCTGGTGGATGCGGACAGTGGAGCTCCGGTTGAAGCTCTTCCCACATTCCCTACATGTGTAGGGTTGTTCCCCAGTGTGGATGTGCTGGTGGTTGCGGAGGGTGGAGTTGGTCCTGAAGCTCTTCCCACATTCACCACATGAGTAGGGCCGTTCCACAGTGTGGATGTGCTGGTGGGTGATCAGGTTGGACCTCTGGTTGAAGCTCTTCCCACATTCCCTACACCTGTAGGGCTGTTCCCCAGTGTGGATGTGCTGGTGTTGGATCAGGTTGGACCTTTGGTTGAAGTTCTTCCCACATTCCCTACACTTGTAGGGCCGTTCCCCAGTGTGGATGAGCTGGTGGGTCAGGTAGGAGCTGTCTGAAGCTCTTCCACTTCCTGCAGTGGTCATTCCCAGCGTGGTGTGCAGGTGCTGAGGCTGGGTGCTCACCCTGAAGCTCTTCCCACATTCCAAGCACCTGAAGGGCTTCTCCCTGCTGGGAGGCTGCTCAGGGACCACCAGCTCGGAGCTCCGGCTCAAGCTCCGGCCGCCTTCCCAGCACAGGACGGGTCTTTCCTCCTCAGAGCTCCCTGGGTTGGCTTTGCAGCTCCTCCTCCGAGGGCATCTCCGGGCCTTTTCCTCCCCGCTGCCTCCCTGCACCGGGGAGCCCTTCAAAACAGCCTCTCCCACCAGGCTCTGCCAGGGGGATTTGTCCTCCGTGCTCTCCGTCCTCAGCTCAGGGCCTGGGGCAGGAAGGAAGAAGGACAGGCAGGGGATTTGCCTCCAGCCCACAGGGAAGGCCAAGCACATCCCCCAAAACCTGTCCCCTACATGCACCACAAGACAGGGCCAAAGGGCCACTGACTTCCTCCTCACCTGCCTTGGGGGCCCACGGCTTCTTCGTCTTCCTCGCAGGTTCCTCCTCCATCCACCCAAGCTTTGGGAAGGACAAATCCTGCTGGGGGGAAACAAGGGTTGAGCACGTTGGCTTGGGGATTCCTCCTGACCATGTCCATCTCTAGAACTCACCGGACATCCTGGGATCATAAAAACCTCCAAAACACCAAAGGTCCCCCCCAAAAAACCCCTCCCCCAGAACACCAAGGTTCAGACCAAAAAAAACCCTTCCAGGAGTTCCCCTCTCAGGTCTCTCCACTTTGGGGTTCTGGGGGTTCCTCCTATTTGGGCTGCTGGGGGGGTCCCACATAAATTTGGGGACTCCCCTCTCCAGAGTTCCTGCCCTCTCTGGGTTCCTGGGGGTCCTGGACTTCCCCCCTCCAGGGTCCCCCTGCTCAGGGATGTTGGGGGTTTTGGGGGCCCCAGGGGTCCCTTCTCCCCTGACTTTTTGCTTTGGGGTGCTGAGGGGTCTCACGGGGTCCCACCTCCCTGGGGTCTCCCCCTCTCCAGGCTGCTGTGGGTCCCGGGAATCCCAGGAGTCCCCCTTCTCCGGGCTCCCCTTTGTCTGGGGTTCCTCGGTCTGGTCTGCCAGGGGTCCCAGGACTCGCTCTTGTCCAGGCTTCCCACTTCAGTGTCCCAGTGGTCCCAAGGTACCCCCTCTCCGGGAACCCTAAAAACCTCCTATCTCTGCAGGTTCCCCCCTTCATGACTTCCATTCTGCTGGGGGTCCCGTGGGTCTGGTACCATCCCTCTCTGCTCTCCCCACTCCGGGGGTCTCAGCAGCCCCCACCGGCTGTTCCTCCTCCTCTTCCCCCTCGTCCTGGCCTTGGTCCCCCCTTGCCTGGCCAGTCCCGGTTTGCCAGACCCCAGACCCCTCTTTCTTTGACTCCAGGACCCCCCTGCCCCCACTTTCCTTAACATCCCACCTCTCTCAGTCCCTGCATCCCCCTGTTTCCTGGCTGGCCATCCCCCGTCACTTCAGCCCCAGCCCCCCTTTTTCTTTACCCCGGGACCCCCTGAAGCTCCTTCCCCGATCCAACAGCTCTCCCAGTTTCTCCCTTCCCTTGACCCTGGGACCACCCTGATCCCCAAATCTCCAGGTCTCCCCAGTTCCCCACTCCTGGCTTATCCTGCAGGGCAGTCCTGGGGTGTCCCAGGGACCCCCTGAACTCCCCATTCCTGTGCACCAGATCCCCCCTGCACGCCCTTATCTGGGACCAGGACCCCCTAGCACCCCCTTTCCTGGTCATCCCACCTCTCCCAGACTCCACACTCCCTTTTCCTTTACCTTGGGACTCCCTGGACTCCCGGTCCTGGGCATCAGGACCCCCCTGCACCTCTGTCCAGCACTGGGACTCTCTTTCACCCCTTCCTCAGCTCCAGTACCCCCTGCAACAACCCCTTTCCCAGCCCTCCCGCCTCTCCCAGTTCCCAGGCACCCCCTCGATCCCGAATCCCCCTTTTTTTTGGTTATGTTGTTGTTGTTTTTGAACACCAGGGGACCCCCTGAACCCCGTTTTCTGGACCCCACGACCCTCCCTTTCCCCGACACCGGCGACCTCCGTGCAGAGGCTCTCCCTGGACCCCCCCATCCCACCTCTCCCGATCCCTGCCCTCCCCTTTCCTTGGCCCTGGGATCCCCCCCAACTCCTCTTTCCCAGCACTGTGCCCCCCGGCAGCCCCAAGATTTACCCCAAAACACCAAGATTCACCCCAAAAAAGCACTCCCAGGGTTCCCCTCTCTCCGATATCCCCACTTTTGGGAGCCGCGGGGGGCGGGGGGGAGGTATTGGGGAACTCTGGGAGTGTTGGGGACAATCAAAGAGTTCCTGACACGTGGCCAGGGCCTTTGTTCGGTCCGCCGGGAATCGACAACAAACCTCAGTCCCGGGGGTCCCCCCTGGCCGGGGATCAAGCGATGGGGACACGAAGGGACCCCCACGGGAACCCCTTTCCCGCTCTCCCACCTCCCCTCATTTCCTTCTCCCACCCTTTTCCCGTCGCCCACCCCTCCCCACCATCAACCCCGGCTTCCTCCTCCCGCCCTCGGTCGGTCTCTTTGGGGTCCCACCCCTCTCTCGCTCTCTTTGGGGTCCAACCCCCCTTTCTCCTTCCCCTCTCCCTTTTTCCCATCCATTCCCCCCAAACCCAAACTTACCGGGCGAGCTCCTCGCTCGTGGAACGGAAAGGGGGAGGAGGAGCGGGAGGAGGGGCGGAAGAGGAAGAGGAGGAGGAGAGGAGGAGGGAGAGGAGGAGCATCTTCCCCCAATCCCTCACGTTGCCGCGGGGAGGGGAGAGCTCCTCTCAGATATTTTGGGGAGGGGCCTCCGGGGTGGTTTCGGGGTGGGGGATGTTTGGAGCTCCGAAGCTGAGCCGCAAATGTCCCTCGGGAGGACCTTAGGGGACTCCTGGAGGTTTGGTTTGTTTTGTTTTTACAGGGGAGGGGATCCCGGTGTGGGTTCCCGGCAGAGCCCCAGGGATTGGGCGGGGGATGCGGGGACTCCCCGCGGTGGGGGTTGGTGTTCCGTGGTCAGCCCGGTCCCGGCGGGGAGGGGACGCGATGACACCCTTTTTAGGGACCCCGGAGTGGGGGAAGCAGAGAGGGGTCACAGCAGAGCTGAGGGACCCCCGGCTGTCGGAGAGCGTGGAGAGGGTGAACAGAGAGGGGTGTGGGGGACCAGGGACCCCGGACCCTGAAACAGGGGGCTCTGAGAGGGTGATGGCAAAAAGGCACCAAAAAAATGGTCCAAAAGTTAACAAGGGTTCAGCTGGTAGAGCTCCTACTGTTTGCTCTCCCTGCTCTGCTGGAAGAATAAATCAGGTAAATGAGACCTTGCACTGGGATACAGAAGGTCCAGAGCCAGGACTTTGCAGGCTTGAAGGATTCAGGTCACCTAATGGGGGAGTTCTCTGAGCAATTCATCATTCCAGGGCTTTTTCAGCATCAAGAGGGGACCTCCTGGGATTCCCGGCACCTCCAGCAGCCCAGAAAAGGCAAAACCCTGGAGAGAGGGGGCCCCCCAAAACACAGGAGACCTACCAACATGGTGGGGGACCCCCAGAACTCCCAAAAGTTGGGGGGTTCCTTTTGTTCCTCCAGAATTCCTTTGTGTTCTGTGAGGTTCCAAAATGTTTCAAGGTTTCTTTTGTTCCTTGAGGTTCCCAAAATGCTTCGAGGTTCGTCTTATTCCACCAGTTTCCAAAATGCCAAAAACTACCAGACTGACCTGAGGACCAAAAAGAACCAGGGAGACCTGAGGGTAAAAAAGAATCAGATGGACCTGAAGGCCAAAAAAGACTGGGTAGATCTGAGGGCCAAAAAGAACTGGGGAGATCTGGGGACAAAAAAGAACGAGAGAGACCTGAGGACCAGAAAGAACAGGGTAGACCTCAGGACCAAAAGGAACCAGACAAACCTGAGGGCCAAAGAGAATCGGGGAGCCCTGAGGGCCAAAAAGAACGGGACAGATGTGAGGGTCAAAAAGAAGCAGGTAGAGTTGAAGGACAAAACGAAGCAGGTAGACATGAGGGCCAAAAGAAACAGAGAGATCTGAGGGCCAAAAGGAACCAGATAGACCTGAAGGCCATAAATAACTGGACAGACCTGAGGGCCAAAAATAACCAGACAGACCTGAGGGCCAAAAAGAACCGGGGAGACCTGAAGGGCAAAAAAAATCAGACAGACCTAAAGGCCAAAAAGAACTGCGGAGACATGTAGGCCAAAAAGGAATAAGACATACTTGTAGGGCAAAGAGAACCAGACAGACCTGAAAGCCAAAAAGAACTGAGTAGACAAGATGACAAAAAGAAGTGGACAGACCTGAGACCCAAAAACGAACGGGGTAGACCTGAGTTCCAAAAAGAATCAGAGAGACCTGAAACCCAAAAGAACCCTGAAGACCTGAGGGACAAAAAGAATCTGACAGAACTGAACACCAAAAAAAAAATGGGTACACCTGAGAGTCAAAAAGAACCAGACAGACCTGAGGGCAAAAAAGAATTGGAGAGACCCGAGAGCAAAAAAGAACCATGTAGACCCAAAACCCAAAAAGAACCAGAGAGACCTGAGGGCAAAAAGAACCGAGCAGACCTGAGGGACAAAACAAATCAGGTAGACCTGAAGGCCAAAAAGAACCTGGTAGAACTGTGGGCGAAAAAGCATTAGACAAACCTGAGGGCCAAAAAGAACCGGGTAGATCTGAGGGCCAAAAAGAAGCGGGAAGACCTGAAGGACAAAATGAACCAGGTAGGTCTGAAAGCCAAAAGGAACTGGGTGGACCTGGAAGTCAAAAAGAACCCAGTTGACCTGAGGGCCAAAAAATCAGACTGACCTGAAGACCAAAAAGAACCGGGCAGACCTGAGGGCCAAAAAGAACTGGACAGACCCAAGGGACAAAAAAAACCCAGGTAGACCTGAAGGCAAAAAAAACAAACCAAACAGATAGACATGAGGGCCAAAAAGAACTGGACAGACGTGAGGGCCATTAAGAAGCAGGTAGAGATGAAGGCCAAAAAGAAGCAGGTAGACCTCAGAGCCAAAAAAACCCAGGGAGATCTGAGGCCAAGAAAGAACCAGACCAACCTGAAGGCCATAAAGAACTGGACAGACCTGAGGGCCAAAGAGAACCAGGTAGACCTGAGGAACAAAAAGAACCAGGGAGACCTGAAGGCCAAAAACAAGCAGGTAGATCTTAGAGCCAAAAAAAACCAGGGAGATCTGAGGCCCAAAAAGAACCAGACAGACTTGAAGACCATAAAGAACTGGACAGACCTGAGGGCCAAAAAGAACCGGGTAGACTTAAGGGCCAAAATGATCCCAAAAGACATGAGGGCCATTAAGAAGCAGGTAGAGCTGAAGGCCAAAAAGAAGCAGGTAGACAAGAGGGTCCCAAAAAAAACCAAGGGATTTCTGAGGGCCAAAAAGAACCAGACCGACCTGAAGGCCATGAAGAACCAGACAGACCTGATGGCCAAAAACTACCAGGTAGACCTGAGGGCTAAAAAGAACCGAGTAGACCTGAGGACCAAAAAGAACCAGACAAACCTGAAAGCCAAAAAGAACTGGGAAGATCTGAGGGCCAAAAAAACTCAGACATTCTTGCAACCTGATATCAATGACAGTACTTTTCCCACAACCTGCAAGCAGGTCTCTTGCTAAGACAGGCTGAGACCTGTTAGTATGGTTTGTTCATGGTGCTTTTTATTAGTTAAGCACATTTCAGAAAAAAGTTGGGACTCCCAAAGACTCCCTTGCCGCCTTCTCCCACATGGGGGTGCCCAAGCAGGTAAAGACGGATCATGGACCCTCATCTGTGGCGAAGGCCACACAAGACTTCTTTATGCTATGGGGAATTGAGCACCGCAGGGGTATTCCCTGCTCTCCAGCTGCTCAGAGTGTTGTTGAAAGAGCCCATCGCACACTCCAGACCGTGTTGGAGAAACAACAAAAGTCTTGTGTCAGACTCACCCCCCAGGAACGGCTTCAAAAAGCCACCTCTGTGCTCAGTTTTTTAAATCGGATGGAGAGAGATCAAACACTTTTCTCCCTCCAGACCTGTTGTTCCAACCCAAGCAAAAGTTCTCTATAAAGATCTTATAACAGGAAAATGGGTGGGGCCTTTTCTCCTCATAACTTGGAGGAGGGGCCATGCCTGTCTTTTCACAGATCAAGGTCCAAGATGGGTGCCATCAAAGGGAGTAAGACCGTACCAGGAGCCGGGCGTGCAGTCATCATTATCACTGCAATCTTCATAAAATCAGTTCTCTATTCAAGATATGCCCTGCAGTGAGAGCTGCAAGGGACTCGAGGACCTCGGTGCACTTTGGAGACAAGGAGTGGCAGAATTGTTGGGGTTTGGCCCATGTGCAGCTAAAGTCGTGCATTGCTTTTGGTTTCCTTTCTTGGAGGTGATGAAGAGAATAAACCAGTGGTTGCAGAAACCTCTGAGCCAGCCAAAGGAACCTGGGGACCTGCTTTTGGAAGGTGGATTTATAAGTGTATCAGGATTTGTTGATATTTTTTAGTCTATGTTTGGCCCAGCCACCTGTAAAGTTTTGTTCTTTGCCTGCCAAGTTCACTGATAAATGGGAGTTTCGTCCTTGGAGAGCGGACTTGTATAAACTGTTTTAATTGGTGTTCTGTGATTGGCTGGTTGTGTGTAGGGGACATTTGAAGTAGAAACTGAAGAGAAGAGGATGAAGTAAAGCCCCCAGACCCAAATAGATAAGACCCCTCTAGTGAAACAGTGCATGTGTGAGGGGAATTCCAAAGTATTCCCGCATGCGCTGAAGGGGTGCACTTATAGAACCAAGGGGGTGGACTGAGAACTTTGGGAGCTTTGCTTCACACGAAGGACCATTTGTCTCTAGTGGGGACACCTGCCCGTGTGAGCCATCACCCCTCCGAGGGACGCAGCTGCTGTAGGGGTTTCTATGATATCGGGAGTGGGTGAGATAACTTTCTTAGTGACCCCTGTGTGAGTCGGGTGTTTCATATTCTTATTGTTCTCTTTCTTTGGGTGCCCATTTCTTTTTTTCCCCCCTGGTCACCTTTTGCAATAAACATTGGGTTTTGAGTTCACAGCAGTGTCTTGGTTTTCAGTCTCGGCATCCTTTCGAATTCACCCTGTTAACGATGTCACTGGTCCCCAAAGATTTCTCTGCTGTCCCTGTGATGTCACCACAGTCCCCTGTAATGTCACCCATGTCTTTGATGATGTCACTGGTGTCTCTGTTATGTAACCCTGGCCTTTTGAAGTCACCAATGTCCCCTATGATGTCACAGATGTCCCCGTTAATGTCACTGGTGTCTCTATGGTGTCATCACTGTCCCCTGTGATGTCAACAATGTCCCCAATGATGTCCTGCTGTCTCTGTGATGTCACCACTGTGCCGAGCTGTGGCACCAGGTCCCCTTCATGTCACCGATGTCACAGATGTCGCTGTGACATCAAGGTTGTCTCTTTGCTGTCAACAGTCCTCTGTGACATCACTGATTCCCCAATGATGTCACTTCTCCCCCTGTGATGTCACCACTGTCCGCTGTGATGTCAGCAATGACCCTGATGATGTCACTGGTGTCTCTGTGATGTCACCTCTGTCCTTGTGAAGTCACTGATGTCCCCTGTGATGTCACCGATGTCCCTGTGACAACAGGACTTAGCCTTTGTTCTCATCAGTTCCCTGTGATGTCACTGGTCCCCAGTGATATCACTGTGGTCCCTCTTATGCCACCACTGACGTCAGCGGTGGCACCTTGTCCCTGTGATTTCTCCAATGTCCCTGTAATGACACCAATCCCTTGTGATGTCACCATTGGCCCTTGTGATGTCAGCAATGTCCCCGATGACATAAATGTTGTCTCTGTGATGTCACCCCTGTCCTTGTGAAGTCACCTAAGTCCCATGTGATGTCATCGATGTCCCTGTGACATCACGGCTGTCCCTCTGTTGTCACCTGTCCCCTGTGACCTCACTGTCACTGCTGTCCTTATGATACCACTGCTGTTCCCAGCGGTGGCATCATGTCCCTGTGATGTGACAGATGTCCCTGCGATGTCACCAGACCCCTGTGATGTCAAGGCTGTCCCTTTATTGTGACCAGTCCCCTGTGATGTCACTGACCCCAATGCAAAATACTCATGTCCCCTTGATGTCACCACTGTCCCCTGTGATGTCACTGGTGCCTCTCTCATGTCATCCTTGTGCTTGTGAAGTCACCAATGTCCCCTTTGATGTCACCCATGTCCATGTGACATCACTGCTTTCCCTTTGTTGTCAGCAGTCCCCTGTGATGTCACTGGTCCCCAATGATGTTACCCATGTCAATGTGACGTCACCACTGTCCCCTGCGATGTCACCACTGTCCTCTGTGATGTCACCACTATCCTCGATGATGTCATTGTTGTCTCTGTAAATTCAACTCTGTCCTTGTGAAGTCACCAATGTCCTATTTGATGTCACTGATTTCCCTGTGACATCACAGCTATCCTTTCGTTGTCACCAGTCCCCTGTGATGTCACTGCTGTCCCTGTGGTGTCACCACTGTCCCCAGCAGTGACACCTTGTCCCCGTGATGTCACCAAGGTCCCTGTGATGTAACCAGACCCCTGTGACATCACTGTTATGTCTGTCACATCACAGCTATCCTTTCATTGTCACCAGTCACCTGTGATGTCACTGGTCTTTAATGATGTCACTGCTGTCTCTATGATTTCACCACTGTCCCCAGCGGTGGCACCGATGTCCCTGTGATGTCACCGATGTCCTGTGACATCAGGGTTGTCCCTTTGTTTTCAACACTGCCCTGTGATGTCTCTGGTCCGCAGTGATGTCATCGACATCCTGTGATGTCACTACTGTGCCCTGTGATGTCACAAGTATCCTAGATTATGACATTTGTTTCTCTGTGATGACACCCATGTTGTTGTTATGGCAGTGATGTCCCCTGGGACATCACAGCTGTCCCTTTGTGTTCATCAGTCCCCTGTGACATCACTGGTCCCCAATGATATCATTGCTGTCCCTGTGATGTCACCAGTGTCACCAGTGATGTC